TGAGGAGGCGCTGCTGGTCCTGGGTCTCAGAGGGCGAGGTCGGGGGATCCCCTTGGGGGTCCAGTTCCTCCGCGTCCGTGAGCTCTGCCGCCTGGGGTTTCCTGGGCACCCCACCGTTGGCCGGTATTTTGTTCTTCAAGTCAGGAGGGTGCTTGGCATGTCTGCCTTGGGGAGAAACGGGCAGGTGGGTGTGCTTCGAGGGAGCTGCGGCCCTGGGAGGCGAGGCAGGCTGCGCGGTTTCTTGCTTCCAGTTCTCCATCGCGCCTGCTTTCTGCCGGGCATCCGGCTCACTGGTCCTGCCTGGAATAGATGGGAAAGAATTTGCCATCAAAGACGAAATTCAAAAGCTTTGCAATACAAAGTGAGTGTTAAAGGTGGCAGTGGAGGCGTTTCAGAGGAAATTGTAACTGACAAGTTCTCATTCTTAAGAACGTTGGACACTTCTCAATTACAGCCATCGCGTTGAAAGCCCTCTTTTGCTTTAAGTCATAGATACAGCTCTAAACAGTGTGTGAGAGAATTTCTATGAATGCAGTTAGGTTAGTCACAGCTTAGTATTTAAAGAATTCTCAAATGAGTACTTTGATGTCATCCATTGGTTTTGCAAAGGCAAGATCTTACATGGGCTTTTGTAATACAGTAAAACGAATTCTCGGTATGTTACAAATGCGCCATAGCCCTTCTTGACAATGTAGGCAAGAAATTTATAGGGACCTGGTATGAAATGTTAAATGACCTCTACACACAAAGGCGTGGGGATGTGTTGCACGCCTGGGAAGTGATGGGCGAGCAACACATTTGTAATTTTTGAGCATTACAAAGAGTGCCTGTCCCCCCTAACATGTCCTTAACTTGCTTTCTCCTTCTCTATTAAAATCTCTTTAGTAATAAATACATTTGTAATTCCAAAATAGAGCCCAAAATAAAGACTCCTGAGGTAGGCAGCACATTAAGTGCGCCCTATGCTTTCCCCTTTCTTGCGAGCAGAACTGAAGGAGGAAAGGGGTGCTGTCAGGGCTGGGAATCTGTATAGCAAAGGGGAGTCCAGCCGGGAGCAAACATCTATTTCATTTGCTTCCAAGACAGACTGTGTGACTTTGGGGTGCCCTGGGGATCCTCACAGTACATCATGGAGGAGAGAGCCACCAATATGGTGTGAGTGGGGGAGGCAGACAGGAGTCACCATCCAGAACCAGTCCGCTCCATTTCTGGGTTTCATTAACTTGCTTGGTTCTGATCCCGATCAGATAAACAAGGTACTGAAGTTCTTCTGAGTCAAGCTGCACTCCCAAGTAATGCAATACAAACTACGCATTTCAAATGCTATTTGGAAATTGAAGAGAGCTGACAACTAACAACGCCACATTACACTTGTAAAAATGCTCTTCCCCTGTCATCATAACCCCCAGTTACAGTGATATAAGATTAATCACAAAACTCATACTTTCATGTTTGTGTAATATCGTAATAGTGATTGATGTTATTAGCAATCAGTAACATTTTAGTCTTTGGTATGACTACTTTCTAAAGGGACTATCAAACGTTCTATAAATCACAGTGCAAACTTAGCCTAAAAAAAATCATGTAAACCCAAGCAAGAGCCATGATTCATAAGGAATGCAATGCATGAAGCAAAAAGAGAGGGAAGAGACACACGCAATGCTTACTTGTTGGCATAGCGACGATGAAGGCTTTGGAGTGAGGCCCCGATCCTCTCCTGTTGGCCGCACGGATTTTGAACAGATAGCGCTCCCCAGGCTGCAGGCCGTCCACGAGGGCAGAAGTGGTCTCTCCGGGGAAGGTGAGGGACTTTGCTCCGAAGGGCTTGAGCGCGGGGGCGTAGGAGAGAATGTACTCTGAAATGATTGGTAGACAGTTGGAAGGAGGACAGTGAAAACGGACTGTAGGGGCAGGATGGACTGCAGCGCGCGTCACTAGGTGAATGGACCGGAGGGGCAGGATGGACTGGAGCGCGCATCATTAGGTGAATGGACTGTAGGGCGGGATGGACTGGAGCGCGCGTCACTAGGTGAATGGACTGTAGGGCGGGATGGACTGGAGCGCGCGTCACTAGGTGAATGGACTGTAGGGCGGGATGGACTGGAGCGCGCGTCACTAGGTGAATGGACTGTAGGGCGGGATGGACTGGAGCGCGCGTCACTAGGTGAATGGACTGTAGGGCGGGATGGACTGGAGCGCGCGTCAATAGCTGAATGGACTGTTGGGCGGGATGGACTGGAGCGCGTCACTAGGTGAATGGACTATAGGGCGGGATGGACTGTAGGGCGGGAGGGGCTGGAGCGCGTCACGAGGTGAATGGACTGTAGGGGAGGATGGACTGGAGCGCGCCACTAGGTGAATGGACTATAGGGCGGGATGGACTGTAGGGCGGGAGGGGCTGGAGCGCGTCACGAGGTGAATGGACTGTAGGGGAGGATGGACTGGAGCGCGCCACTAGGTGAATGGACTATAGGGCGGGATGGACTGTAGGGCGGGAGGGGCTGGAGCGCGTCACGAGGTGAATGGACTGTAGGGGAGGATGGACTGGAGCGCGCCACTAGGTGAATGGACTATAGGGCGGGATGGACTGTAGGGCGGGAGGGGCTGGAGCGCGTCACGAGGTGAATGGACTGTAGGGGAGGATGGACTGGAGCGCGCCACTAGGTGAATGGACTATAGGGCGGGATGGACTGTAGGGCGGGAGGGGCTGGAGCGCGTCACGAGGTGAATGGACTGTAGGGGAGGATGGACTGGAGCGCGCCACTAGGTGAATGGACTATAGGGCGGGATGGACTGTAGGGCGGGAGGGGCTGGAGCGCGTCACGAGGTGAATGGACTGTAGGGGAGGATGGACTGGAGCGCGCCACTAGGTGAATGGACTATAGGGCGGGATGGACTGTAGGGCGGGAGGGGCTGGAGCGCGTCACGAGGTGAATGGACTGTAGGGGAGGATGGACTGGAGCGCGCCACTAGGTGAATGGACTATAGGGCGGGATGGACTGTAGGGCGGGAGGGGCTGGAGCGCGTCACGAGGTGAATGGACTGTAGGGGAGGATGGACTGGAGCGCGCCACTAGGTGAATGGACTATAGGGCGGGATGGACTGTAGGGCGGGAGGGGCTGGAGCGCGTCACGAGGTGAATGGACTGTAGGGGAGGATGGACTGGAGCGCGCCACTAGGTGAATGGACTATAGGGCGGGATGGACTGTAGGGCGGGAGGGGCTGGAGCGCGTCACGAGGTGAATGGACTGTAGGGGAGGATGGACTGGAGCGCGCCACTAGGTGAATGGACTATAGGGCGGGATGGACTGTAGGGCGGGAGGGGCTGGAGCGCGTCACGAGGTGAATGGACTGTAGGGGAGGATGGACTGGAGCGCGCCACTAGGTGAATGGACTATAGGGCGGGATGGACTGTAGGGCGGGAGGGGCTGGAGCGCGTCACGAGGTGAATGGACTGTAGGGGAGGATGGACTGGAGCGCGCCACTAGGTGAATGGACTATAGGGCGGGATGGACTGTAGGGCGGGAGGGGCTGGAGCGCGTCACGAGGTGAATGGACTGTAGGGCCGGATGGACAGGAGGCCGCGTCACTAGGTGAATGGACTGTAGGGCAGGATGGACAGGAGCCCGCGTCACTAGGTGAATGGACCATAGGGGCAGGATGGACTGGAGCGCGCGTCACTAGGTGAATGGACCGACAAGCACGCCAGGACAAGTCGGAGCATAAAGGCGCGGGCAAGGGGTACTGTTCGCCCAGCTGTGGGACAGACTACCAATTAATGAGCTGGCTTTGCCCATTCTCAGGACATTCCGCGTAGGGAACCCAAGAGGCCAGTCTTCATACAGTTTACAAAAGACATTTATGCCGTGTTTGGGTTTTCTATCCATCGTAGTTCTATGTTAATTTATTATGACAGAATTATCTCTTGAATGGAAGAAGCTGTGGGAAAAGAAATGACAGCTTCTAGGAACTGATTCTGAATAGCTGCTGACATCTCCAAGGGTTCCAATGAATTCATCTGGGCAATTCTGGTTTCGTTTAAGCCAATTAAATTTCATATTTGGAATATAATTTTACCTTTGTATGGATTATAAAAGCTCTGAATATATGCAGATAAGGATAGTTCACAGTATTTAAAACTGTAAGGAAAAGGTGCTAAGTAACAGATTTATGCATTATCTAATGTTTCTATCTTCAATCGGCTACATCTATAAGCATTTAATGCCCTTTATTGGACATCATAGCAAATTCAGTCCAAGGATCTCATATATCTCTATGCATATATGGAAATACTGTCCCATAAGGAAACCAAGTTTTAAAGCACAATTTTCACCCTCAACTAAAAACTTCCATGCCTGTTTCCTCCCAATGAACTCAAGATTCACAAAACTTATCAAATTAATATGACTGGGAGCTAACAAAAAACTGAATTACAGAAAAACCAAGCAATTGTCATACTTCCTATGGAGGCATGTAAGAGCTTTTCTTTTACCTAAGATCTAATCTTTAAAAAATATTTTTTAAAGCATTTGTAGGACAAAAAGAAGTGTTCTTGTTGAAAATGAATAAACTGGTCATTTGTGGTGGTTAAAAGTCAAAATTAAAAGAATGCCTGTCTATGAAATTTGGTAATTCAGATATTTTTGTTTATTTGTTTTTATTGATTTTATTTATTTATTATTTTTTAAAATTTCGTTTTATTGCTTAAAGTATTACTAAGAGTATTACATATGTCTCCTTTTTAATTCAGATATTTTTATGGATTCACTTCATTTGGAAAAAAGTTAACCATGTCAAATTATATTCTATTGTGTTTTATATTTCTCATACATAAAAAATGTCCTGATATAATTTTGAATTTTCAATCCCACTACCACACCTTTATGAAAATCTCTGAGTTCTTTTGGACATAACTCAGTAGCTATTATTATTTCTGGTAATATTGAATTGACTACCAGGGAGCTTCTTTCACCAGAGAGAGAAGTATAAACCAAGACGTGGAAGAGGGAAAGAAAATAAAAGTAGCATGGTAATAATGTCAGGAAAGGAGCAATGATTGATGTTTTTATAACTAAAAAGAGTAGTCTGCCAAAAACTGTCCTTATTCACTTCCCAGCATTACAACAATACTTAGTCCAGAAGGAGCCAATGTTCAAACTTTTATAAAAAGAATTATTTAAAGGGGCCAACTAAATATTTCTTCTCTTCATTTGTTTCTAATTTATTCCACTAGAGAAAAAATGAGTAAGAATAGTACAATATTTTCTTCTTAAAAAAACTAGAAAGTGGGAAAGCCTTAAGTTTAGAAAAGACTATCTCATGTCTACCTTCCTTCTATTGTCCCATGAAAAGGTCCTTACAGATCAACAAAGATAACGTACAGTTGTAGACAAAAGAGAACAAGTTATTTATTTCAGTTAAGAGATTCTCAAGGAAGATTGGTGGTAATTTGCTGGATTTCTTTAAGCTTACACAAACTTTTCATAGTTTCTGGACACAAAGTTTCATAGTTTCTGAAGACTTAAATTTGTCTTCCAAGATTGTGTAACAATAAAAAGTGCCCTTAGGGTACATTTGTATAAGTGATGTCAAGGGAAGAGTTCAGTATGCCCCTTCACAATATCTCCTACAGACTTCTGGAAGGTTCTTGGATGTTTTTACATTGAAAAGAAAAGATTTGTGCTTCTATTTAGTATTCTCAACAGACACTTTTGAATTTAACTATTTGTTAATATTTTACCCTATTTTTAAATCTACAGTATTATTATTTTAAGGACATATTTTCCTCAACTCCCCCAAAGTAATTAATTTTAAAAGCTGACAAATAGGGAAAAAAATTTCCATTTGATTTTAATACTTGAGTTCTCAATCCCATTAAAAAGATTTTTGGTCCCATTCAAGACACTCATGGTCCCATGGGGTTCCTGCTCACTCCTACTTTCCGGGATTTTACTGGCACAATGAAAAGACCCGAAACATGAAAAACCAGGGTCATTTGTGTGGGTAAAGGTTAGGATGTCACTCCCATACAATCAAACACAGAAAACCCCCTCCTGATAGCAGGACCCAGATCCTTGCGCATACAGAAGGTGGAAGTCACCTTCGTGACTCCCTGGATCTCACCGACAATGAAAAACCCCTGCGTGAAATCTCCTCGTCCGTTGGGTTAGCACCGCATAGACGTGTGTTGCTTCCCTATTCCTAGTGCAGCCACCAGGCCTGTGATTAGAACCAGAGCTTCTCAGAGTCAATACCGTGTCTGGGGGATTTCACTCCCACGTGCACCTCGTGCCCTCAGTCGCCAGGTTCCTACCTTTCACTTTGCCCTCAGTCTCAGGCAGCGCGTCCCAAGCTACAGTGACAGCTGTGGTTTTGCCATTGACTGGCCAGACTTTTAAGTTCTCCGGAGCCGTCGTAGGAGCTGCAAAAGGAAGGTCAAGGGTCCAAGGTTTGAAAACACACTTGTGCATCTTCTAAAGTAAACGGCACGGGGTCCTCACGTGCACAGTTTATTGTAGAGCCACCTGGTAACTTTTATCGTAATGAGAGAAGATTCTACATTCACTCTCGTGTAACAGGGTGATTTCTATCAGTTCCACCAACCAGAGAGTGAGCGTAGACAGAGCTAGCGAAATGCTTTCCGGAATTCGGAATTTCTCTCATTGCTCAATATTGAAATATTCCAAGAAGATTAAAATCAAGGCTTTTATAAAGTAAAGACACAGTTTAAAAAGACATAATTATAACTTTGGATCCAGAACAAAATTCTCCCTAGTTCCTCTGGCCCCAGACTCAAATACAACCTCAGCCTCCGGAAAGACATCTCCCTACACGGCAGGGCCACGGACGGCTCCCGCGTCCACGCGGACAGCGGTGGGTCAGTGCTCCACGCTGGGATGTGAGGTGCTGCGCGTGTCAGGATAACAAGCTCATGGAAACAGCCGGCGGAGGATGGGACATGTCCCCAGGAAACAGTTCCCTAGCTTCTCAGTGTTCAGACGTAGTAGACACGCCACCAGGATTTAGGGTTGATTTCGCTTTTTACAATCCCCAGGAAACAGTTCCCTAGCTTCTCAGTGTTCAGACATAGACACACCACCAGGATTTAGGGTTGACTTCGCTTTTTACAATGCCTGTGCTGGCCTTCACCACTGCTGGCTGAAAGCGTCTTTGGATCTTACTTTAGGGGAATTCCCAAACTGACCATCCACAAGCCATTGCGATACAGACCGGATTCCGGAGTCCTCTGGAAGACGGAGGTGCTCCACTTGCCGTCTCTGTCCCCCTGTGAGATGCGGACTGCGAATTCATACATGGTGTCGGGGAGCAGGCCCTCGATCAGCACGCGCCGGTTGGAGCCCTGCCGGTAATCCCAGCGGGCCAGTTCCCCCTTCTCTCGGTAGCGCACCGTGTACTGCCTGTAAGGAGACACAGGCAGCATGCACCGGGGTTCTCTGCCGCGGAACATCACGGACTCCTGATGCTCGTCCTGCCCCGGAAACGATGACTTGAGGAGAGAAATCAGAGCACAAAGACCTACACTTTGGACTATGTTTGGGGCTCAAACGTGAGAAGGTTCTAAAGCAGACAGGGAAGATGACTTTTCAAGACTGGAAACTCATACTGCTCAAAGCTGAAGCAGAGATTCAGAAGGGGCGGGGGGAGGTGGTGGCTTTGATGAGGCACATGCCTTATCAGGGGTGTGTGTGCACGTGTGTGTGCGTGTGTTTGTGCACATGTGCAGTGTGGAGAGGGCAAGGGAATAATCAGAACTGGCCCAAGGTAGCTTGGCTTTCCAGAAAAGAAAGACAAAAAGACTCGCTTCATGCCAAATCAGGCATGTTTCCCGAGGTGAAGAGGGGGCAGCATGGGGTCTTGAGTAAACTTACTACCATGAGAAGGAGCAACAGTGTGTCACAGACAGAGCAGGATGGAGGAGCTGATGAAAAGACCTCGAGTGTGAGATTGTCATGGAGAGAAACACGTGTGAGCGAGCATTCCCCAGCCCCAGAGGGAAGGCATGCCAGCTCGTGGCGCTGCCACGGAGTCTTTGTGGACACTGTGCAGTAGGAAGCACTTGGTGCATGAAATGTGCTGTCATTGGGACAGTTACTAAGGCAGGACAGCACTTCCGGTGCAGACAGCACACCAACCAACACGGAAAACTCAGCCCTCTTTGTTCTCATCATAATGCTGGACATCAGAGCCCCCGGGAGCCAGGAGCCGTTCATGTTGAGGAGACCAAGGGCAGGGGGAGCGTCACTATGAACCGTGAGAGAGTCCTAGGAGCCTCAGAGGTCTTTCCAGGAAACAGGTGTCTTATTTCACTAGCAGTCAGAGGCAGAAACCCAGCTAAATCAAATGACAGTGCATATGGTGCATGTATTTCTCAGCATTATGCCTCATTCGTTTTTTGAAGTACATTCACTTTTCCTGGTTGCAGACAGGTTCAAAGATTAATACATAACAACAAGCCACCAAATCTGTGGCTGTCTCTTGGCTGTATAAACTAGGAAGTCACTTGACACAGCAGCTTTTGGTGACTATGTCAATCTCCCACTAACTGGAACTGGTGTTCCCCAGTGGCCTTTTTAACACAAAAGTTCATTTAACTCTATGGTTGGTTTTTCTTCTGTTGCTATTGCAAACTGATATCAAAATCAGAACAGCACCACGTCGTGGCTTGAGAAAAAATACATTCACCTGCTATGCACAGTGAGCTACACACGAGGCAGGGTGGTGCTTGGAGACGTCTAAAGAGGAACTGCTGGGCGCGAGGGTTAGACGAATGCCCACCACTCTCATTAGAGCCTTCCTGCTTCCCCTCTTCACGGGTAACAGAAGGAGGGTCAGGCTCCTCCTCAGATGGGCCCGTAGCTTCTGAACATGAATAGATCATTAATGCCCGGCCGGTGTGGCTCAGTGGTTGAGCATCAACCTATGAACCAGGTCACACGGTTCAATTCCCAGCCAGGGCACATGCCCTGCATCGACCTATGAACCAGGTCACAGTTCAATTCCCAGCCAGGGCACATGCCCTGGTTGCGGACTCAATCCCCAGTAGGTGTGTAGGAGGCAGCCAATCAATGATTCTCTCTCATCAATGATGTTTGTATTTCTCTCTCCTTCTCTCTTCCTCTCTGAAATCAATAAAAACATACATTTTATAAAATAGAGAATTAGTAAGGCACGGCAAAGCAAATGGAGGCAAAGAGAGAAATAGGATCTAGGACATTTGCAGACACAGGATAAGGCGGAGAAGGTGAGATGTGAGGTCCTGCCCTGTGCATCACACACGAGGTAGCATGTGGCCTGTGGGGAATGTGTGGCCACGCTCAGGATTAGCTGCATGGCCACAGGACAGTCTATTGTCCAGTCACAAAAAACACCAGCATGCCAATATGTCAGAAAATAAAATCCCTCAAGTAAATACATGTCTGTGTGGGGCCACAAAACCCACATCTCTCATGCATAAGAGAAAGACAAAAGTCAGGGAAGTACCTGGACGCAACAACTTTCTTCTGCTTCTCCACGACAGGGTCCACCCAGGCTACAAGCACAGACTGGGATGACATCACCCGGACACTGATGTCCTCAGGGACGTCCAGCTCCTCCTCCTCTGAAATGACAGCGGGCGCGTGGGAAGGCTGTCCCAACAGTAGGCTCCGCCCTGGTTCCTCTGGCCCCCGAGTTTATGTTCACCCGGGGCAGTAAATCGCTTATGCGTGATGTAGATGGAATGAAGTGAATAGGAAGTTAAGCAATGATTTGATTGGTCACTGCAGAGAAACCTGACTCTCCACTCTTGCCCTTCTCAAGTGCAGTCTAAGATACGGGCAGTTCACTTGCAAACTGCCCAGCCCAATGGACATAAAGCACAAAAGGGAGGCTGTGCCTTGGTCAGAGATACACCCAGTAACTCAGTGTTTCCTCAACATACACTGTAAGTTTCCGGGAAATAATACAGTTTTTACAGGAAGCAAAACTTTAAGGGAAGAAAAGCTCGGGGAGGCATTGCCTCGGCGATCGTGGCATGAAGCGAAAATCCTGGTGCAAAAAACAGCATGAATCATGGGGCGCCGGGTCCTCACATTTCAGAGCATGGGGTGCCAAGGCAAATGAACAGGTAGATTCCGGTACAAAAGGGAATTCAGCCTGCGATTTCTGATAGAATACGTCACAGACACAAGGCTCACAGTTCTGTTTAATCACTAACCAACTGAAACTCAAAAGATGTCTTCAATTTTGCTTTTGAGTCTCTTAGGCATTTGGGGTGTTTTTTTGTTCTGTTAACTACAAGTAGGAAAAGGTGGAAATATTTAGCCTGTTAGGAAACTGATATAGTGACTTCTTGGAGAGCAGCAACTAATGACTAATAAAGGTGAAACATCCTGTATGTGGGCCTTCTGTATACAATGTAAAAATTATAATATAACATTATGTTATATAATAACATATTGTGTAATATAAAATTATAATTAACAAATAAGTTGTAAGTTCATGAAAATAATTATGCTATAGGTTACCTCTTTAAGTAAGACCCAGGAACCAGAAAAGGTATATGTAATTTGTTAACACAAGAGTACTATAAAAAAAAATCTGTGGACAAATGTGGAAAAAATATCTTAGATCAGGCTAGCACACTGATGGCGAACCTTTTGAGCTCGGCGTGTCAGCATTTTGAAAAACCCTAACTTAACTCTGGTGCCGTGTCACATATAGAAATTTTTTGATATTTGCAACCATAGTAAAACAAAGACTTATATTTTTGATATTTATTTTATATATTTAAATGCCATTTAACAAAGAAAAATCAACCAAAAAAATGAGTTCGCCATCACTGGGCTAGCAGCACACCATCCCTACATCTTTTCTCACTGCATTGTTACTCAAGTTTAGTGGAAATAAAGTTTCACTGCATTCTTGCACGCTACCCCATTCACTCCTCTCTCTCTGTTCACAGTCTATCACCAGGGGATGTTTCCGTGTGGATCACACTGTGCCCTTAAATGGAATAAATGTTTGGCTGCTCTTATTATGGCAAACCTAAGGCACAGTAAAAACATTCAGAATATACAGAGAAATATATTTCATCGCAAGAATACCTTACCCTCTGAGTAGAAAAGAAACACACTTGAATCTAAAATGTGGCCAAGCCCGCCCTGCTGTTTCCTTTCCCCTCAAGAAAATCCATGGAATTCGTGGCCCGGCCAGCATCATTTGGAAACAACACTGCATTCACACTGGACCATGGCTGACTGGATGCGTCCTTAGAACCATACCTGAAATCTTCCGTTTCGTTAGGGCGGCCCTGTAGACCGGCTGGCTCTGGCCCCGCGAGTTCAGGGACTGCAGGGAGACCACGTACACCGACTCGGAGGCTGTGGATGAGGCACAGGCAGTGAGGCTCTGCGGCTGGTTTCCCGGACACATCCCTCTGTCCTCGGCCCCTCCCCCTCTTCTTCCGGACAATTAAATTTGAGCCCAAGCATGGTAGGAACTAAACTCAAGAAGAACACTATTATGGTAGGATAGGTGGAGGTGATTTTCACCTGTAATTCCTGGAAAATGGGTTTCTATCTCATCAGCATCAAAGAAAGATGAATAAGGTTTTAAAAGGGATGGGATTGCATATATGCCCACTTAAGTCCCCCAATTTCCTTTTATTTCTAAATAGAGACAAGGGTGACTCTGTCTTTAGCTGTCATCAAACAGAAGGGAGAGGAGGCAAGAGCAGCCACAGTGCCCGGTCAGCGCCTGATGGAGGACTCACTTCAGATCCCTTAATTCTTTGGTGCCACTGACAGTGGAACCCGCCAAGTCATCAAAGGAAGAACGCTGCCGTTTATCTCCCGATCCAGGGACGTGCATGAATGGCTAAGCCTGGAGGGCGGTGGCCCAGCATGGACCAAGAACCACCAGAGACCGGCCAGAGTGGCTCGGTTGGCTGAGTATCGTACTGTGCACCCAGAGGCTGCCGGTTCAGTTCCCGGTCAGCACATGCCTGGGTTGCAGGGTCAATTGCCAGTCGGGGCGAGTACAGAAGGCAGTCGATTGACATGTCTCTCACATTGATGTCCAGGCCTGTCAACCACCAAGGCCAGCAAAGGCCAGGCCTTGACCCAGCCTGGAATGATGCACAGAACCTCTCCTGGTCACAGCGACTGTCCCCTCAGCATCCACGGCCAGTGCTTCCTCCCCCTAGTGAGGGTTTGCGAAGAGGGAGGACAGCAGGCCGGTTTGCAGGCTTCATCAGCGGCCCCCACATTTCATCTCACGGGGACCCAAGGTCCAGGGTCCTAGGATCTGAGGCAGAGCTTAAGGAGCAAAACGGTGAAAGCAGAGCCAAGAGGCAGAAAGCATGAGCGCCCATCCCGTGTCCAGGAAAAGGGCCCAACTCCAGGGCTTGTGCTGCAGGGTCAGGAAGCAGCTGCCGGGCGAGCATGCAAAGGCGGCCGTGTCCTGCGCTGACTGCAGGTTAAAGGGATGGAGGCACAGGCGGAGGGCAGGACAGAGAACATGATTCTGAATAACTATAATACCTGGAAAATAAACATTACAACTGAACTATGACGTCGGTCATGAACAAGCTCCTAAGTATGAAATGATGGGAAAGGTCATCAAATACTGAGCACCAGTTACCATTCAACTCACCCAGCTTTTTGATCTCATGCGTTCGCTCATCTCGTGTCAGTGGAACGTAATTCATCTTCCGGCCACTTTCCCCGTAGCCCAAAAGGAAACCCCGGGATCTGCGTGGACTCTTGGCTCCAGACAGGCGTGGCGCCTTCCACGCAACGGACAGCCGGTTGTCTGAGGATCGGACTCGGACACGCAAGGGCTTGTTTGGCACTTCCTTTTCTTAAAGAAGACACGACACACAAACTATTAAACAGTAGACCCTCGGAGTCCACCAGCGGGTACGTGAAGTCTGTCTAGAGACTGAGCCACAACAATTAAGCAGCTGGATTTAAAACATCCATTTTGGTAACCAATTCCAGAAAGAACAGTGTCCCCCCAAGGGCACCGACCCTGGGTGCACATGTTCCTCCCATATTTCAGGCTGAGAGGCCTGAGGACTTCAAATGAAAACATACCATGCATGAGACTGCCATCCAGAAGTCTTGGGTGTTTTACAAATGCTCTTTTTCATCTACTTCCTTTTGCCCCTTTAAGTCCAAAACTATATATTTCTGGTGAGAGCTAGAGGTCAGCATAACAATACAGCGAGCACACAGTAGGTGCTGCTATAGCTGCCCTACAGGAAGCCTTCTCGTTGTAAAGCTGGGAAGGGCTTTCCTGGCCTTTGCGGTGAATCACTCCAGCCCACATAGTAACTGGCTTCTGGTTTTGATCTGAATTCTTCTGACATGTCTAATCTGCCCTCCAGACCAACCTGGGCCTGCCCCGCCATTGCTGCCATCTCAGGCTCCGCTGTTCCTTCTTCGAAATTTTGAGAAATCCTCTTGCTAAAATGATCAAGCTCAAGAAACACTCATCGTTAGCTTTCTCAAAGCAACACACTCTGGGGGCCAGTACTTAGTGTTTAAAGCTTTGCTTTTACATCGATGAAGAACTGATAAGTTTGGGAACAAGGGCCACAGACCACGTGACGACTACATTGTCCAATGCTGACGGTGGACCACCTCCTAGTCATATTTGGGGATCCCATTAGGCCACTGAGAGAATCTCTAGTTATGTAAGCCAGGGACTTCCCCAGCATTCTTCCTCCACTATAAACATTAACCCCATCATCAATGCTGCCTAAGTCTATTCGGCTGGAAAATTCCCAGGAGGCTGCGATGTAAGAACACAACCTAATGCCATGGGTCGGTATGAAACCAGTGACGCAATAAGTACATCAGTAGCCATGGGAGATGGCTCTTCTGAAAGCGCTACACCCTGTTCCAGTGTTCCGCATCCGCCAAAGGGAATACCCCTTTGGACATTAGCTGGGGTTACCTGGCCAGTCCCTGGGCTTCCCGTTCCTGAAGCTCCTCACAGCGTGCCATGGAGTGGTCCCGCAAACATTTCCCCACTCTACCAAGTAGGACTTAGTAAGGTTTTTGGTTTTGAGTCCAATCGTGTAGCCAATGGGCCACCTGAATACAACTCTCCTCGCACCTGGGAGGGTAGCCACTTTCACTGGGTTCTGTGAACTGATCTCAGTTTTGTGCTCAGGTTCCAAGGTGAGCTCTCACTTCCAAGGTGTGGCTTCTGTAAAAATCAAGGACCTCCAACATTCTGGGAATGACAGATGTGCTCATTCACATTGTTCAAGAGAAAAAGTCCCTTCCCCATCCTGGGCTATCCGTACCATCAGACATCTTTCATGGATCTGTTACAGCCATCTGGTAACCCTCTTTCAAGCGGATGTGCACACTAAGAAAAACTATCCAGATGGTTCGAATTCACTGGTGCTAAGATGTTTTAAGTGTTTGAGTAGCCTCGCAGAGGCTCCTGAAATTTTCTACTAAATCCCAGTGAGTCTTTTATCTTGAAAACAAAAGTCACAACTGCCGGGAGCAACCCCGTTCTGCCGAGTGGACTGTGACGTGACAGGACGCGGGACCTCCACCGCTCTCGCCACATCACCAGGTGGGCCTCACTCAGAACCGGTTGATACCACTAATTACAGCCGTCCACTCGGAGGGTCAGCAGAGGAAACAAGGGCCGTCGAGATCAGAGTAGACTTCAGAAAGCCAGACACCCATGTCTCCTAGGTTGTGTTGTCAGCTACACAAACTGGCAAATACTCTTAAATTGTACAGAATCAAAACCTGTTGATTGAAAAAAAATCCCAAATTCAACACGATGCTTTGTCCATTTAGGTTTACAATTTGGTGCCCGTTAAACTTGGCAGCTTCTGGTTGGGGCTTCCACAGGCTCTCAGGTCGGGTCCCAGTCTGTGGCCCCCTGTCTGCGTGACTGTGAGGCTCCCACTGACCCTCATTTCCTCCCTTGGAGAGCAGTGTGTAGCGTATTGTGTTTGTAATATAAGTCACGTAAAGCATATGTGAAGCACACATTCATTGCTAATTGTGGTTGCGATTGTGATAAAAAACAAAACCCCTCATCAGATTCACTGGATGTGTGGGCAGCCCCCCAGAATGGAACCCAGGGTCCCATTACAGATTCTACCACAATGCCTTGCACACAAGGGACACTAAATACATGTATTTCAAAGAACCAAGCATGAGAGAAAGAGATACTTAGTGTCACAGGTTTTTACAGTAAAACCTCAAATATGAGCTTGTCTGTACCCGGACAGCTTCTGTGCACCGTACACCGAGAGCGCTGTGCATTGTCTTCATCAACACCCAGCAGTGATCGGTCGCTCTAGCGAGTCCCTTCCTACTCTTTGTTGGCGCGAAGATGAGTACTCGGCCATCATCTCCTGCGCCCAGTCTCAGTTGACAGGGCCTTCTCATTCTCCAGCAGAGTGTGAGGTGTCATTCGGTCCACAGCTTTGAAGAGTAAGCGGTTTGACCCTCTCACCCCCTTGACACCCCACTGCACTGACCTCCAAGCTGTGCAAAGAGGGCCTGGATCCTCACCCCCTGCGAAGGCAGGCCCACGTGCTCACTGGCCTTCCGCTCGCCCATCCTCAGCCCCAGGCAGCGTCCCCGCCATCCCCAACATCAAGGCTCAGGGCCACCAGGGACACTGGCTGTAGGGCAGGGGGCGCCCACCCCCGAGGCTGAGCGGTGGTCCTCACACTGCAGCGTGCGTCGCAATCACCTGGATGGCTTGAAACCACGCCCTGGGCTCCCACCTGTCGGGCCAGGCGCCATTCCAGAGCTTAGTGCACTCTGCACGAATCAGCAGAGGAGGAAGAGGGGAGTGGGAGGGGGTATGAGTTGGAGAGGGTGAAGGTGGTCGGTCACAGCCAGAACACAGGACATGTGCTTTGCTGTCCCCACTCAGAGTCTGAATTCCCTGCCCCGGACACGGGCCCAGGCCCAGACTGACTGACAGCTGCCAAAGTGGGTTAGCAAATGCCTCCCCCTCTGTCGCCAAGGGCTCCTTCCCGGGCGAGTTCTGACACGTGCCCCTTGAGACCTTTGTGACTCTCAGAAGTCCCTCCCACGCCCAGCACCTGGAACTTGGAAGCCGGACAGGTGGGCCCTTGGCTGGCGTGGAGCCGGGTGTGCAGTCCCCCCGCACTGCTTCTGTGCGGAGCCCCCGCCGCGCTGTGGCATGGCATGTGCCTGCTCTAGAATGAGGTCCCCCGGTGCCTCACAGACGCCTCTGGCAAAGGATCTGGTCTGTGGCACCTGGAGTCACCGTCCAAGACTTCCGTGCCACGGATCCCCACTTACAGGAAACGTCGGCTAAGTTCCCCGGGGCCTGGAGCTCCTCAGGGGAGGTCATCCACATGTCCCCTCAGATCCACCACTGCTCGTCCCCTGACAGGTGGTCATGCTGCAGGGTCCCAAGACCATCTGAGCAAGAGCCTGGTCAGCCATGCGATGGCCCGGCTGCCCGACTGTGGGGAGCAAGAGCAGAGCGGACTCACTGGACGCCTTTGACCATCCAGCGTGGGCTCACTGTAGCCATGACAGTTACGTCAAGTGCCGTGTCAAGACTGAGGTAATGAGATGGGGCCCTGAGGAAGGGCCCAGAACACCAAACCACCGGTCAGGATACTTGGATCAGGACTCCATCTGGACACCAATGTGAGGGAACCCCCACCCCCACTCAGAGGTCAGCCACCCAGTGCTTGAGCTCTGGATCACACTCAGAGCCCTGCCGGACTCGCACTGCATGGGCCGGGCCGCCACGGCCACTACACCCACTTCTGCACCCGCGGACACAGCCCGTGGCCAGGACTTCGCGCCAGCAGACCTGACTGTCAACAGGTCATCTTCGTAGCCCAGCCAGCCCCGAGGAATTCCAGTCCTCAGCTGCAGTCAGCGCCATTCCTCACCAGCCCCTCCAAGTGACCAGAGGCAAGAATGAGGACCTCACTTGAAGGAGAGCACCGCTCAGTGGCGGACAGCCTGGCCTGCCCGGGACCACCCCAGCATCAGCAGCTGGCCGACAGGTGACCCTGACCTCTGACCCGGCCCTGCCTCGCTCAGCACCCGGCTCTGGCCCACACACCCTTGCCCTGCGGGGCACACGCGGAGGAAGCAGCCTCCGACGCCTTTCCACCAAACACGTATTGAGCGCGTGCCATGAGCTTGTCCCAGGCCCGGGAGGCGGAGATGAGTGAACCTAAGAGACCGGCCCTCGAGGGGCTCACCATCCAGACCATGGACCGGAAACTGAGTTTTGCTCTGCAAATTGCATACTTAATAAAACTTAAAATTGCACAAGGAAATAATGCCACAGACAGTATTCATTCCCCATTGGCCGAAGGCCTTAATTAAACTCTGTGAAAAGAGGACACCGTCTGATTGGTAATTGGGCACTCAGCGGCCCCATGACCTGGCCCCAGGATTAGCTGAGGATGCCCTGAGGCAGTGGTAGTAAAACTGCATATGATCCCAATGAGGCTACAGCTTCCCAGGGAAGAGCGGGGCGAAGACAGGCGAACTGGCAGCCCGTGGCCTTGGCTGTGGGAAGCAGAGTGGGGCCTCCTGGCCCCGCCCCCCACTGCCTGTCTCCGTGCGTAACAGATAAGCTCAGATCCAGGGACAGGAAAAAGCTAACGCAACTTCAGAAGAGAAGCCTGCAGGGAGGTCAGTAATGGGATCCAATACGTGACAGGACCTGGACACCTCTTCCCTGGGGACAGAACAAAGGGATGTGGCTGTGCATCTCGAAGGGAGCTGTGTGCGTCTGTGCGAATGTTTACCTGTGTGTCTTCAGGGTAGACAACCACTGAAATAGACTTCCTGGCCCATTTACACACGGCCGCGGTGTGCTACCTTCTGACTGTCTACTACCACTGTCTTCCAGGCTGTGCTCCTCGCCTTCTGCTCATCTCTCCTAACCCTCGCCCCCTCATGTACCCTCTCTCCTTCAGCTCTCACTCCAGCGTGCCTCCTAAAGCCATGTCTGCCTCTGACTTCTGTCTTCCAACGTCCATTCCCTCCTCTGCGGCCGCTACAGGCATCCCCAGCACAACCCCCCACGCTCACCTTCCGTCCGGCATATTTGAAGAACGTATCACCTCTCCTCCACAGCCCATTTCCTTTTCTAATGTTTTATTCCGCCCTCCTTTTCCATGTAAAAAGACTGTGAATGCTGCCCACACCCGCCAAATCTTAACTGAGAAGCAGATTAGAGTCATTGGTTTGAATATACTCACCTTCCTCACAATAGCGTAAGATTGATGTATTTAAATACATGGTTTATGAAAATAAGACACACTCCTCTCCCTGTGGCCTCAAGACAGTAGCCAACATACTTGAAAATAACTGCATGCGTTTTGCATCATTTTGCATCATTAACTAAATATATTCAAAGAACACACAGAAATGTCAACACTTCTCTCAACAAGTAAAACCACATGATTAGACAACATCAACATCCAAATGATAAAACATACATATACAAATATGGAGCAGAGATGGAAGGCAGGTCATCTAATATGTCACCAACTAGCCCATGGTTTTACGAAAAGAAATACTTGATGCAGCATATTAGCCAATAAAAGCCACTGTTTGGTGGGTCCCATCTGCTCATGCCGTCCACAGGTCACAGAGCTGCAAACATCCCCATCAGGCCAGGACTGCCATCTCCGCCACCACATTTGCCTGTTAATAGCACAGGGTACCCCCAGATGTAGACACAGACACCTCCCCACACCAGGACACGAGGGGACAGTGAGAAGTGAGCGACACTGGCTGCGGGCTGGTCCATTGGGTGCACGGCAGATCGACCAACACTGTGGCGTGTGCGTTAGTTCAGCGATGGGGACTGGATGAAGGTTTGTGAGCACATGTGTGTGACAGAAGCGCGACCCTCTTGCGAGACGGTGCTTCAGTGAAGACATGAACCGGATGAGCAAATAGTACCTGTGACGGTTTCATTAAATGGTCCTGGACCCTTAATGGGGGAACCATCAATCTGGATCCATTCACCTCCTAAATTAGGAAAATGCAACCTGATAGTTAGAAACGAGAACCAGAGGAGCTTCCACATTTAGAGCATCCCTAACTGCTCAGAGCATCCCTAACATTGCTCTAAGTGGCCTTTTCAACAGCTTGAAAGGGATCGCCTCGGGCCATTTTAGTGACTCAGCACCTAAGCTCTATGGACAACACATCCTTTTAGTCTTTTGCACATGGCTTATTCTAGTGAGCACTCAAAAGTTTAGGACGAAACGCTAACAACCTACATTAACTGACTATGAAAGGAGGGATAAATCTCTCCTAGTTTTTAGTCTGTCAGCTTGTTCTACAAATCTAAAAATACTGTTGTTCAGGAACTCTTTAATAATTCTAAACTTGTACTGACATGAAGAAGCAGGGAGGGACGTTTCTCCCAATCTTAGTAACAGAAACACAGCCTCCAGTTCTAGGTGAGACTTACCAGGCAGGCTTTCCGCTCTGTACACGGGCCGGCTCACTCCACTGTGGTTTTCTGCAGTAACCAGCACAAAGTACACTACCCCCGGCTCTGAAACACACGGTTCGTATCAAGCCCCGTTTCAAATCTCCAAGAACGACAGTTTGATTCGCTGTCTTCCTTATACCAGTTACAACCAAATATAAATATTTGAATTTAGTGACAAGTCTACCTATAGCTTTCTCTCTTTATTTTTAATCAAAATACTAACATTCCTCCCATGCAACTGAAATACACCTGGCCAGAGAACACAACATTTATTTATTACAAAGTACATGGCATGTGAAATAAACCTGGATTTGTGAGCAGTCAACAAGAAAGCTTTTAAGCCTTTTAATGTGACATCAATGTAGGAAGTAGGAACACACTGTCCACTAAATCCATGTTTCAACCTACCGTGTCCGTAACTACAAACAGTATTTCCTCATGAAAACCCCAAATGGAAAGCTTCAAAAAATAATTAGGAAATGTCAACATAACTCAAAATTTAGCACCTGGGGAATCTTCACTGCAGTCAAGAAAGCTGCATGAAATATGTTCCTTCTCATAATTAAACAGTCCCCTTGCCCTAGCTCAGTGGTCAGCAAACTGCGGCTTGCGAGCCACATTCGGCTCTTTGGGCCCTTGAGTGTGGCTCTTCCACAAAATACCAACTTCTGTGCATGGGCCACGAAGTTTCAATCGCACTGTACGTGTGTGCCCGCACGTGGTATTTTGTGGAAGAGCCACACTGAAGCCAAAGAGCACATGTGGCTCACGAGCCGCAGTTTGCCAACCACTACCCTAGCTGGTTTGGCTCAGTGGATAGAGCGTTGGCCTGCAGACTGTAGGGTCCCAGGTTCGATTCTGGTCAAGGGCACATGCCTGGGTTGCAGGCTCGACCTCCAGTAGGGGGCGTGCAGGAGGCAGCTGGTCAATGATTCTCTCTCATCACTGATGTTTCTATCTCTCTCTCCCTCTCCCTTCCTCTCTGAAATCAATAAAAATATATTTAAACAGTCCCCTTGCTGTGTCTGCATGTGGTCTTTGACTCTTCCAACAAATACCTAGAAAAAAATACTTCCTGGAATCTTGGAAATGCTAATCTTGAAATAATTGGGCTTCACTTTCTGACTTGGATCTAGGGGTCAAGGTCAAACGGCAGTGGTGTCTTTGGCTGAGCTGCTGGAGTTATTGGGATGCGGAAGGGAACCCAGACACCAGGTTAGGACATGAGTGCCTTGAACTTGCCGCCTTGAAAGCAAAACTCTAGTGCTGTTGCTTTTCTTCGAGATGAATTATTATCTTAAGAAAGGGAAGTGGAGGTGCCAGCCCTTGCAGAGCTGGAAGCCGGCAGGCATGGGAGGGGATGGACGTTGGAGAGGTTAGAGTTAGTTCCATCAAAGGCCATTGTGGTATGTGCATTCCTCAGAGTGAGGAGCGTTCCCCTAATGGCTTCAGTGCTCCAGCCAGAGGCCCAGGATATAGCCGCAAGGCCGTACTGTTGGGGACACCTGCTGTCGGGACTGGTATGGCTTCTTTCTGACCGTGGCAGGGGCTGGTGGCATTTCAGGTTTGGCACGACCTGCCGGACTAACTGGGAAATGCTTCAGGTTCAGACTGAATGTAAAATTATGCTCTGCCAGGCACTTTTCTCTCTTCGTCCTGAGCTTATTTGTATTTCAAAGACATTTAATCCACGTCTCTGCTTCCGTTAACTTATCGGAGTTGCTTTGGAGACACTGCCTCTCAGTGAGCTCCAAGTCTCTCCGTTGGCATGTTTTTCTTCTCTGTGGCCACCAGAACAACCCAAGCTCTGAGCAAGCAAATGTGAGCCTGCACTTGCCTTTGGTCCAATAGAACCTCCACTTAACCCACAGTTGGACTCTGTGGGGCCGGGGGGATGTGGGAGAGATTCAGAGAAATGTATGGAACCATGAGGGAGGAATCTGACCCCCTGCCTCCCTTCCATGCACCTTCTGCCCCGATGCCCAGAAAGCCTAATGCTGTAACTCAGAGCGGAGAAGGGACGTGTGGTAGGCTGTGGCCAGGAAACTGGGGAGCACTGTTGATTCCGATCCTCTGAAGGAAGGCGGCAAAACGCTCCTGTGGCTCGGGGACACCTGGATGTCACACATGCTGACTTCCTCACGATGCATCTTAGGGTTGGGCCATGAGATGACTGGAGAGTGCATGGAGCTGCAGGCTCCTGGGATCAATAGGGCAGAAGACAGAGGACCCACAGGAGGCAACCCAAAGCTCACGTTCAAAACCGTCTGCCCTGCACTTGCACAATGTATTTAGGCAAAATTTAAAATACTCCAAACTTTCAGAATGAATTACATGGGGAGAAATGTAACATCTTTGAACAGATGTGGCTAAGCATACACACCTTTATAGGTACATGTCACCTGAGAAATCCCTAATTATAAAATGGTTCATAACTGAGAAATCTCCAGATTAGTTGTCTAGTAGTCAAGTGTCCATGAGACAAAAAAAAGCACATTCAGAAAACTAAAAATTGTTTCCGGCATCAATTGGGAGAGAGGCCCAGGAACGCTAGAGTTCAAGTGTAGGGCGGGAAGGCCCGTGGCAGGATGAAGGCCTTGATGCAACAGATTCATGCCCCTGGCTTCCCGTTCCCAAGGAGCCACCTGAGCCTGGCCACACCCTGGCTCACAGTCACCTTAGAGCGGAACTGGGAGCGAGGTGCACAGTCAGTTCTGATGGGAACAGGAGCGGAGGGTCACTTACCCACATCCTCAATAAGGAAGGACTGCGTCTCCGCGTTCACCTTGATGTACTTAAGGCTTTTCAGTGACTTCCCGTAGGCAATGTTGTAATGCTCCACGGGCCTACTGGTGGCATCTTTGGGTGGGTCCCACGTGACTTTCAGGCCCATCTTAGTGGACAGCAGTTTCACGTGCCTTGGCTTCAGTGGGTGGTCAGCTATGCAGACAGCGCAACTATCAACTGATGGGAATGGCAGGCGGGGAAAAGGCACTTTTCCAATGTTCTCTGACATTGTTAGCAAGACAGCGAGTGGCTTTTACTCTGATCCTTTAGACTTTAAGCGCGGGCGTGTTTGGACATCGTTACAGTATGACAGCAACGCAAACATACCAAACCCACAAGCTTTGAAGTGTTTCGGATGACTGTGGGTGGTAAGTTTGAACCAGAGTGAAACAAACCGAAAGAAACCCTAGGCCTTCTCCGCCTGCTGATGTTGCCTCGCTGGTGCTAGAATAACGAATTGGTCATTTGACATCTTCCCCAGAGGCGTTCATATATTCAGTGACTTCTTATCGTTAATAAGTACGTTGCATGGTGCTGTTACTCAGCCTATGCATCGCCTCTGAGGAGAATGACCTGGAACGCTCCTGACCGGGAAGAATGTGCACCGCATCTGAAATGAGGCAGCAGAGGCACTAGCTTCTGCAAATACAATGAGCCAGAGCCGCCACCTGAAGAGGTAGGCGCGCCTCTGGTTTTATCTGCAGGCAGCGAATTTAAGTGTTTCGTGTTTTGTCACAGAGGAAAACCAAGTTATTAAGAAGGACATTACACTTTTATCTTCAGTTGTGAGGTTCTACAAAAATTTTTTCTTAATTTTTAAAAATTAGCCAAAATGAAACACAATATGTAACTGATGTTGCAATGCCACATAACATAAATATATGCTAACAAGTCACACAACAGTCCAATTTGGAGCAAACTGGGATCTGAAACTGATTATTCAGTGATGCAAGGCATTCTCGGGGTGGAGAGGGAGTAAAAAAAAAAAAGCCAGAACCCTTTAAACTTAAGAAAAAATGAATTTGGACACTCATGGAAGGAGAAAGGGGAGGGAGAGCGTTTGGTGATGACACACAGAGTGGTTAGTATGTGTTTTAATACCGGATGGAAATCCTGCACAGGGTAAGTATGGCTGATTCTATACCCATCACGTACACTTCCCACAACTGCCCGACCGCCTCTAGAGTCAAACATTTAGGAAAGGAGAGAACTCCTGTGGCCTCCCTGCCAGAGAAACTCAAGGAATAAAAAAAAAGAAAGAAAAAAGTTATGAAAATGATTTCAAAGCATCAGGGACAGGAAGTGCCGCGTTGGAGCCGAAAGCGCGATCTCGGGCTGCGGGTGGAACCCACAAGCGGTCCCTCCCCGGCCTCAGCGGCGAGGCCCTGCGGACCGTGATGGGAGAGGCCAGGCGAGGACGCGGCTAGGGAGCCTAGGAGGACAGCAGGGCAGTGGTTTCTGGGCTTGGAAGGTGAGCGGCCACGGCTACTCTCCGTTCGCTCTCGCGGACCCTTCCTGGCCCATGAGGACCTGCAGGCTTTTCTGCCGGAGAACAGGGCTTCCCCTTCCTCCGTCCCCTGTGTCTCCCCTGAGGCTTCCCTACAAACTCCACCTTCTCTGCCACCTGCCGACTAACTTTTCTAGTTGCCATGAATCCCTATTTCCCGGAACAGCAGGAATCACTCCAGGAATCCCGTGCTCCACACCCACCCAAAGACCGTGGAGACAAAGCGAGTCTCGGAAACCACAAGGCGATTCTCCCAGGAAGGAAACGAATGAATGCGCGAAGAGCACTTTCCTTTACGGTTCAGTTCCCAATCTCCCTAAGCAACTGTGGCCCACACTCTGCAGTGAGAGACCCCCTTACCCCCACGTTCTCTACTGGGCAAGTGTGATCCAATCCACGCACAGCGGCCTGGGCCTGAAAATCAGCCACTCTTATCACCGACATCGGACAGAAGAACACCCTATCCATGCACGCAGGGGTCTCCCCGGCAATGCTTTGCATCTACCCTGGGACATGACATAGAATTTCTAACTCACACGAGAATGCCCGCTGTAATGGTTGCATCAGCCCGGCGTCAGGAGAGATGCAGAATCTCAGAGCTGCAGTAACATGAACACAGAGGAGGAGGGCAAGGAGCAGATGCGGCCGCCAAAACCTAATGACGGTCAGTTCATCCTGCTTACCCGCCGGATCTCCATGTGTGTCCGCAAGTGAGTTTGTTTGTTCTCCTCTTTTTATTTTTTTATGTTTTTTAATCCTCACCCGAGGATATTTTTTCCATTAATTTTTTTTTTTAGACTGGAGGGGAGGGAGAGAGGGGGAAGAGATAGAGAAACATCGATGTGAGAGAGACACATCGACTGGTTGCCTCCCACCTGCACCCCGACTGGGCCAGGAATCAAGCCCACAACCGAGGTACTTGCCCTTGACAAGAATCAAACCCGAGACCCTTCAGTCCTTGCGCCGACACTCTAACTACTGAGCAACCGGCCCAGGCTGTTCTCCTCTGGCCAGTGGTCAAGTACCATCAAGCAGCATCTCAATTCCATATGTGCCTGCACCAGCATTCGAACATACTTTTAAAAAGCCGGATGGTGTAAAACTACACCTAGTATTTAAAAATGGGCACGTGAAATGGATAAGAAAAGGGGTCTTACTGCATGCCTACCACTTGCCACCCACTCAACCTTACATGGCAGGAGGTGCTCACAACACAGGCGACCTGCGAGGAGCTGTTGACTCCCTCGTGCTGCAGGTGAGGAAAGCAGGGCCTGCAGCAGGGAGGTGAGAACTGCCCAGAGCCACACGTGGCACCAGACAGAAGCCAAGGCCACTGCTGCTCTGCCCAGCTCCCACGGCTCACAGGCCTCCCGACTGTCCCTGCTCATAAAGGACCAGTGACTACATTCCCTGAATATGAGTTAAGCTAGGAAGCCACTGCCCTCCTAGAACCAACTGGGAACCAACCCTCCACCATCTACCCTGCCTTCCCACGCCACTCTCCTCTCTTGGGGGCACTCCTGCCCCCACCCCTAGTCACCTCCCCTGTGCTGGTGCCCTCGCCCCTCCTCTCTGGAATACATGGCGTCCATGACTCATGCCCTCTCAGGGATGTCTGCATCTTTACAGCAAAACCTTAGCCTGAGGCATGACTTCCCAACAGGAGCGTTTGAGGCCTTACACAGTGACCCAGTGAAGGCTGATTTTGAACACAGAGGCCTTTGGGGGACCTGAAATCATACCTTCAGGGCAACCTTGGGGTCAGTCTCCTTGTAAGATCAGTTCTGAATGTGAGGTTCTCTGAGGTCCTTAGGCCAATAAACCCCCACACCTCCTCTCGCCATAACCCCAACACACACAAACTGGCCAAGTAAAAAGAAACCACAGTGACTTGCGTAGCAGGTGTTTTCATACCCCGGATTCCCACTGACTTTGATATTTCAGATTGATATCATGATTGATGCTTCCTAGTGACTGTCATCGTTGCCTTACTCAGAAAGGACTGGACGAGAAGAGGAAGGACCAATGTGCATGAACTTGGATTCCGAAAGCTTATTCTTGGGGCTAGAAACATGACAATATGTTCTACTCCCAGTCATACTGTGTAGGCCTCGTGACCTCATCTCTTAAATGTGAAGTGAAGGCATAAGGAGATGAAGTTGGTTTCAGGGGCTGCGGGCTGCGTGCTGGGTTCTGTTACGGGATCCACACTCTGGGAGCTAAAGGTGAACAACATGGTTCCTTACTATGCTCAAGTGTCCTCAGAAATTTACAACAGAGCACCCTCTCTGCTGGACAAACGAAGCCCATGACCTTCTGTGTTCGGCATTCTCATCTTTCAGCATTCTGCAAAGCTCTCTTCCCATGAACAGCCACTCTACAGATAAAAAGGACAAACCCAGTCAGGGCCACAGGAGTTAAAGGCCCAATAGAGAGATCACTTTGCGGTCCCTCGCAGCCCCCCGCCCCGCACCCAAGGCTGTCTTTGATGGGGACAGATGCCCAGATGCCGAGGTGCTCCAGACAGAAGGAGGAAACCACTGGGTCTGCTGTGGCTCAGGCCATTTCATCCCATGACAGAGGCATTGCTATGCTTCATACAAGTGACCTTTATCCACATTCAACAATATTTTGCCAGATGCCGAGTGGCAAGATGATATTCTGGTGACCTTTCAGATACCTGGCAACTGCCAAGCGAGACAGCTGCATGCCATGGCTCCCATGAGGCCTCTCTGGTCTGCTGGGGAATGGGACATGAGGGCACAGCCAGCGCCTAGTTTTCACTCTGACCCAGCTCCAAACTCCAGGTCTTATCCACGCAGGCCACTTGGGTTCAAGGTCAAAGTATGGGTCTGCGTCTACTCCAGGATTGAAACCAAGATTCCAATGGCTCTGCAACATCTGTCCTCAGAGGGTCCTCAGCTTCTGCAGAGTGGCCTCAAGGGGTCCTCCAAGGCTGACAGTGCTCTCAGAAGCCTGAGTCCAGAGCTAGGTCCCCAGGGCCAGCCTGGCCTGACCAATATCTTCATGGCCCATGCATCATGGTAGACAGGGGCACATACCTCACCTGCCCCTCCCTCATCTTTACACTCTGGCATCTCTCTTGGCACCCAGGATGCCCACATATCTGGTACTCATGTAAAATGCCAATGGATTCAAGAGAAAAAAATGTTAGGAGGATTTAGACCAATGAGGTCAACGGAGGGTCTCCAACCCAAACACCTCCAAGGACCAGAAAGATCAAGCAGATGAGTGAAGACATATCAAGGCATGTGCACTCCATCGAGAGGCATGATTTCGGTTTTTAGGCACCTTTGACAAATACCTCATGGAGGGGACAGACTAAGGGATGAGGACAGATGCAAGTTTCCTAATATCCCAGCAGGCTGTGCCCTGACACCACTGGGCATGACCATCCACCTGAGGTCCTGTCGTGGCTTCCCTTCAGAGCGAGGACCAGGACCACCTGCCTCTTCTTCCGGGGCCTCCCCAGTATTAGGCACTGACCTGCCAAGTATCTTCCTGAGGTTATGGGTGGGGTTCCCCTCCTGCCCCCCAGTTTCAAAAATGAGGAAGACTCATTCTTTAGCCAATTCCAAAGCCAAGTTGACATCTAGGCAGAAAATCCATTCCTGGCCTGTCCCATTCCAATCCCAAATTTTGCCCAGCTCATGCCGTCCACAGCAGCCCACCAGAGTTT